TTTATTTTAAAACATGGAAACTAAATTTGATGTCAGTTCAATTCTGTACGGGTTAGAAGTTAAACACAAGATGACAATTTTTCTTCCATTATAAAGGGCTAGAAAATGAACACCAACCAAATGACACTAGCTAAACTGTAACAAAGGCTTTCTTGAGATTTGTTAACAAAGAAGAGAAGGTAAGCTCAAAATTGGCTACTTGAGCAATTCCTTAATCAAGCACAGAGGCCTGTTCAGTATGTCACACAGTATTTTTCCTTCCTGCAAATTAACCTGGCATTTGTTAAGCACTGAGTGAAACTGAAGAATGATGATCTTCTTAGGCTGGTATTCGTGTGGCAGACCACTCAGGTTATCAAAAACTAACTGCTGCGAATGCTAGCATCCCAGATGGTACAGAGCTGTGTTGCAAGAGCTTAAACTCGATGAAAAAGCAAGTCCCCTGAGAGTATAAAAACTGCAAGTAAAACTGTTTTATTGCTGGTTTTCCCTCTGGATCTGCATCAAGGAATTGGCTGTATGTAAGAAGCTGTTGAGGATCCAGAGCCCATTACACTGGGCTTCCTGTTTCAAGATCTCTATCAGCTATTTGGGAGACGGTGAGAAAAGCAACCAAGCAAGAAATGTTGCTTTCCAAAGACTATTCAGAATAACTGAGCTTTGATCCCTTTTGATAGTCTTCTCAGCACTGGATTAAATTAATTTAGGGTTAGAAATGAAGAGCTTTCTTCCTCATTGAGATTTGTGGACCTTCAAATCCATGAGCAAAAAGTACCTATTTTTTCATCTCTGCCATACACTCAATTGTCCTGTCTAGCTCTGTTCCTGAGGTTCAATATCTCCAAATGAGAATGCCACAGACAGGCAAAATAGGATACTGCATACAAATGTTTAACAGTTCATTGAGATTGTTTGAAGAGCAGATAAAAAGGGAGACAAAGTATTTTGTAATTCCAAATGATACTTTACAACTGGTCTACTTCCCTACTAAACACTCTCCCTCTCTTTTGTTCTTGACCCATAGCTCTCAGATAACATCCATATAACATTCTGTTTTCAATCAAGCTAGTGTTAGAGGACATGATAGTATATTTGTAAAACTTCTTTCTAAATAATGACTCTACTGTGGAAGATAAACTAGAACTAACCTTGATTTTCATGTTTTTAAGTTGACTTGGAATCCAGTTCAAGACCTGTAACTTTAAAGTACTACCTAATAGAGAAAGACATGGGAGTGACATGATCTCCTACAAGGGCATTTCTCTCTGCACCACCAGAAAATCTGACTTACTATAGCCTCCAATGACTCCTTAGGTTAGGACTATAAAATCTGTTGTCAAAGGATTGTCTGGGAATAAGATTCAGCCATTCAGAATCTGAGCTAAATTCACATTCTTAAGGGGAAGAGACATTTATTAGACGGCACTATTTTTACTTACGAAAAAAAAAAACGAATGAATACCAGCCATTTTATAGCAATCAAAGCTATTCCTGATGTTTTATCTCAGAAATTGAAAGTCAATTCTTAACACAAATTCCAACTTCAGTAGAAAATCAATGCTACTCAGAGGAGGTGGGAGTAGGAAAAAAATCTAAAAAATACAAAGAAAAGACAATAGGCAAATGAAAATTCTGGTGACATGCTGAATTTCATAAGCTCTACTATGAAACTTGCACATTATCAACAGTTTTATGACTGTAGTTAGTGCCAGGGAAAGCAGCCAACACTGGCTCCTCCATTAAAGCTGCTACAGCCATATTACTATTCCTCTAATTAAAATGATTCAAGTAGTTTTATAGCAGTCTCTAAAGGTTGTAAATTCTTTAATAATGCACAATTTTTAATTTCACTAATCTGTTGTCATAAGCAAAGATAAAAGAGTATGTTTGCCTTAGAATGATTTTGACCTTTTCTTTGCAAGCATTACAGCACTTGTAAGCAATGCCACACAAAAACATAGGAAGGGTAGGGCTAAAAAAAAGCCCAGAATAAAGTCAGATTAGCTAAGAAAAATAATGGAAACACAATTCATAGTATTTGGTGGGTAGGAAGAAATCAAGGCTTTATATGTAATTTAAAAATAATGTATAAATAAAATCTCTTAAGATAGCATTTTTGGGGAAAAATAAAAGAGCATTTGGTGGAGAAATCAATAAACTACAATAAGTCCTCTCCAACAAAACAAACAACGGTGACTTCATTCAGCTGATCTACTTGGCTCCTAATTAATTATTTCAACAAACTTTGAAACTCCCACCTTCAAATGAAATACCTCTAGACTAGAAGCTTTGCGTAGCCATATCATTTCATCATTAATCCACATCACAGGGAAATATAGGCCGTAGTAAAAAATCACAAAAGAATAATGTTATTTGACTAAGAAGGACTACAAACCTTTTGCCTGAAAGAACCCAAAGATCTAATCTACAACTATGGTCACATGCAGACCCTCTATATTACTCTGCTAATAACTATAAACTTCTTGTGAGGGAGCCTGACATCTCAGATCAAGGACTATTTTATAAGAATTTTAAACTTAATGAAAGTTCAGGTCAGAATTTCTACAAAAGGATGAAACTACGTATGAACACGTATTTTTAAGAAAAGACGGTTTACAAAAGATTTTTTATAGTTACATAACTTTGTTTAGAGTACACATCGTAATGATCCCCTCCCATAGAAATCACTTCAAACCATAATTCTCACTTGCTTTGCAACATTCAGTCAGCTAAAGAGTTAACACAACATTCACCCAGGAAATAATCAAATGACCCACAATTACCCAATGAATTTCATATAGTGTTAAGAATAATTATAGGCTAACATCTTCATGTAATTACCAGGAAATTGAGTATAATTCAGAGAATAAAATCAGGAACATACTCCAATCTAACTGCTCTTTGATTCATTAAGCATCATTCTCAATCTCTTACCAAATGATTAAGTGCCTCAAACAAGTTTGTAAATTAGATTTTAAAACTGTTTTATTACATGAAACTCTATTAATGTATCTCTAAATAGTGCTTTTTTTTTTTAAATAGCACTTTTAAGGCAGATGTGAAGAAATCCACTGGAAAGATAAGCTGGCAAACCATTTATACTCAATAGATGTATTTCACCAAAGAATGCAGTTTTATGATCTTAAACAAATTACCGAACTCTAAACCTAACAAGCCTTTCCATGGTAAATCAGTGAATTAACTTTCCAATGTTTTCTGTCACTTTTTAACTAGACACAGACAAGTCAGTTTTAATGAAAACCGGTCTAAAAAGACAATCTTGCTAAAGGTCAATACTGTCAGCTTTACCATAGAGTTAGGCACCCAAGTCTGAATTCCTTTGCTTCATAAGAGATTGATATGTTTGAACTAATCAAGCTGGCCACAAGAGGTCTCTGTCATTCCACAAAATGCAAATGCAGTTTAGAGGTATCTTGTAAATCAGGTAATTTCTCATTAGGTACAAGCACTGAAAATAATGTTAGAGATCTAGTTTATTTCTAGTTTAAATGATTTCTAGTTTGTTATTCTGGAATAATATATTCCATCAGGAAAAAGAAATGGGAATGAACTTGAAGCTAGGGATAATGAAATCGAGCAAATGGTATCCCACTAATACATCTAAGACCAAGTGTTTCAATATGGGACTCACTAAACTAGAGTGAAAGAATATTTAAGTAGTAAAGCATAGCTACTTGGCTACCTAAACAAGGCATCTAAATACCAAATTAGATTATTTAGATTATAATATACTGCTAGAATAGAATACTTGGAAATACATGTAGATTCTCACTAAATATATAAACAAGTTTCAAATCATTCTGATGTGAAATGTGAGTAATGTTTCAATATTGGTCTTGGATATAATGAAGCCCTACATTCTCCTGTAATCATAACCAGAAGTGCCCCATTAAAGCTCCACGGTACAAATTCCAACTTATTGTGTCAATAACCTCTTAAATACAGTCTATGTCACTTAAGCAATACTAAATGGTTTGCTATGACTCAACCCCATTTAACCATGTTAGTGAAAAAAAATTCTGTAAGTGAAGAAAAGGGGAAAAGTTCCACTTAAAGTGAGGAAAGATGAAATTAGAACAAACATATGTTTAGAAAACAACTAGTGCAGAATCAGGGAAAAATAAAAACAAACAAAATTATTGAGGTAAAGAACAGAGTTTCCTCCAAATATGGAGCCTAAGGAACGAATGAAAAAATGACCCAAAAAAGCACTATAAAAATAAATGTTGGAGGGCAGCACAAGTCCATTTGGTTATTGTTTTTAAAGTGCCAGAATTCACAGTAAGCAACACTAGAGATTTTACATTTAGAAACTCTTATCAAGTTCTTTCCTCTCGATTCTATGATTTGTACCTGTTTTCATAAAATGAGATTCAATAGGCTACAATATTAGCAATATTACAATTTTTTGTTCTTGACTGTCATTCAGGGAAGTCTTTTTATGAAACTATGTAAGTATGTAATTAGATCCTACTTACTTGTAAAGTCAATTGGTTATTCTGCAGCTACACAGTTTGGTACTAATTGTATTATATACTATATCTTTAACAAGGTAATGAACATATCTATTTGTTTAATAAATCACTACTGATTGCTTTGGGATGCTTGGAAAACCAAGGAGACCAAGATTCAAGCCTAGAACTAGGACAGATATATTTCTATCCATCCCCAAATATCATGAAACCATGCAATAAGGACAGACTGAAGAGGGATCTCAAAGTCTCATTCCTATACACGAGACGTTTCCAAAGTGCAAAGCAATTTCTTCTTTCTTTGGTGAGGCCTAATCTTGCTTCTTTAAATTCTCTAAAGTCATTCACTTGTAAGAGTCACTGGACTGATGGACATTTATTATACTTATTCTGTTTTAAGCATGGTGGGTATCAGTTGCATACAGCACACTTTTTGACCAAATGTAAGCACTGGCCAGGAGTAGGTTTCCTATGTGACATTCCACAGCATCGCATGTAATGATACATATTAAAAATAGCCTGGTCTGTGTGCTTAATGAAATGCCTGTCAGTTGTATTCCCCTGGACAACTTAGAAACCATTATTCTTTAAAATACAGAAGCAGATGTAGGGAGCCAACGTACATAGAAATAAACAAACGCATCACTCTGGAAATCCATCCTCCCAAATGAAAATGCTACAAAGAACTAGCACAAGGAAGAAATGGAAGCCCTGGTTCTGCACAGCCCTACCAGGGGAAAGAGTCATTTTCTTCCAAAATTGCTACAAAGATATCAAAAAACATATTAATCACTACTAAAATCGTCCTGCTGGTAATTTTGAGAATGGCTCTTAAAGGTTCTGAACTATATTCTCTCCTCAGTTTAAGGTTTCTGTGACTCAAAGCTTTGTAATATCCACTATAAAATATATCATTACAGAAATACTATATACCAATCTCAGACAAGTGCCTGGATCAATCTTGGGTTTCACTTTCTAGTTCTATGACAAGGAGCATAAATTTGAGCCCTCTGTTCCTCCTATTGTTTAATGTAACACAAGACTCTAGTCAACAAAGACACATGTATCACTTAAACATATATTAATTGCCCTATAGAACTATATACTATTAAGAATGAAGTAAAGAGGCAAACAAATGATACATACCACTTACAAGCAGTTGTGTGATGCGAGGTAAAGTGAAATGGGAAGGAAGGAGAAAGAAGAAAGGCCAAACAACCCAACAACAACAAAATCACAACTCCTGTAGCACTGAGTCTGTGAACAGTGCTTACTTGCCCCAATTTTATAAAAATGAAATAAAAATCAGAAAAGGGTATACTGCCTGATTATTCTTTTATACTCATGAATTCTTAAAAGTTAAAGTAAGAAAAAATATATATATATTTAAATGGAAAGTATATCAATTCACTTTATTAGCCTAATTTAGGAATGGGATGAGGACTACAGGGTTGAGGTCAGGTATGAAGGAAGAGGGTTAAAATTTGTGACAGCAAAGATCCCTTCAAAATTCTGGTGCAGTCCTTGTTCACTGCAGCCTAACTGTCAATCAACAGAGTTGAAATCCAAAATACTGAAAGCAGACTCCTGTGCTCCATTTCTGTCCACAGACTCTTCAGTCACAGTGTGATGAGGTCCACCAGGTTGCCTTTAGGAGGAGTCATGCTGTCAGGAAAGAAATTTACTAAGGTGTCAAAGAGCTGAGTTCTTTGAGCATAGGTGTGATCCACATCTGAAAAGCCTGGTGAAGGAGAGATATAAAGAAACTCATCTACTGTGTTTAAAACCCAACATGTAACAGAAAAGCTACCTGAGAAAAGCAGCAATGTATAATGGAAAAACCAAAAACAAATCAGGCTTTAAAACCAGATAAACATGGGTCCTGATCCCAGTTTTACTATCCAGCAATGGTCTTAGGTAAGGGACCATTTCTGCAACTTTTTCTTCAACTGTAAATCTGTGATAATCCTGTTTACATCATAGGTTTATCGTGCAAATTAAATGCAATTATGTGAAAACTATCAAGGAGAGTGACTATTAACTTTAGTTACTTTAGTAATTAATATTGATTTCTGTTCTCTTCCCTACAAGCATTTCCCTCTTCTAGTATAATGAGGAACTTTCATTCCTCTCTTCTGACTTTTTAATACTTTGACCACTAAAATTTTCTTAATAATAAAAATATAATCAAAATGAAAGAGGTCTTTAGAAAGTAGTGTAAAATCATTAGGGCTCTGAGAGCTGGAAGTGGTTTCAGAGAACTGAGTGAAAACATACATGCTTGAGGTTAAGAAATATACTTATACGTAGAACGATACCTGGCACATAGTAGATCCCATACATTTACAGTACTATGCATCAGGCTCTATGCTAGGCACACATGTGAAAAATAGAGAACAAAGAACTCCTTTTATCTAGATGAATATCAGAAAGTGAAAGATACTCTTAAAAGGTGAAGACCGCTGAACTAAAGGATTTTTTTCCCCTTTAACCTCTAGTAAACACTTAATTTTCAAGTTCACCCCAGCCAAGGAAATATTCTGGGAGATGTCTCTTTCCTTTAGTCATCCGGTGTATTGCTCCCAGCACAAATGAAGAATGAAAATGAACAAATAAAAGTACTTCTTTGATTTTCTCCATTCCTGAAATGGCTGAGGCATAAAGCCCTATTGAGTGCCACCAGAAACAAATAGTGCCAGAAAGTTGTATATGCCATGATACTCAGTGAAGGCTATTTCAAATTGGATAATTTTCATTCAACTTAGAATACAGTTTTAGATGCAATCTGCCTTTTTAATTTTGTAAAGAACATGAACAGAAAAGAACAATGCCAAGGATACCAGTGTCCTGAAAGGAAAATAAACAATGCCTCAAGAAAGGTACATTCCTATTAATTAAAAAATATATATATTAAGTGTGAGGGCAAGTGTTTACTCCTTTGAGATTTAAGGTTTTATTTAACAAAGCCTGCTATCATATCATAGAATTCGAAACACTCCAAAATGTAAACAAAGTTTACCTCTGAATGATGACA